CCATGGAAATAGGCTTGATAGTTGATTTGGGAAGCCACTAATAGCTCGGAAGAGACCTTTAGTATTGTTTAGGGAATGCTTTTCCTCTTATCGATTGAATTGTTATTGGGGGTAGAATTATTTATGATTATATTCATGGTAATGCTTGATCTTGGGTGCTTTAGTTTATTGATTTATCACATTTCTTAGATTTATTGAGTTCTTTATATATTAGTTCTTAGAGTTATTCACCATTGATTGGTACTTGCTTAGTGATAATTTGAGTCTATTTAATTAGGTGAACCTTAGTCTTTTGGGATTCGATCCTTACTTGCCCGTCTACATTGTAGTGGTCTCGTTAGGTTATTTTTGTTAGGTACGCGACACGCCTATCAATCTCTGCACAGGAGGCACCCAACCACCCAACACGATTCTCTACAAAAACAAAACAAAAAAAATAAAAAATAAAAAAAAATGAGGTTAAAATCCGAAATGTCAAAAAAAAATGAAAGAAAAGACGAACTGGAACAAATACTGGAAAAGGAGTCAGCCTGGATGCAACAAAAGCCTAAAACCCGAGGCAAAACCAGCTGCTCCGCGGGATAACCAAGGACTGCCTGAGCTTGATCCTCGGTAGAAAGCAGGTTTGGACATAGCATTCGGATCGGAGGGTCCACTGGAACCAAAGGCTCCTCGGACGAAAAACTGCTAGACAACACACTCGCCTAAAAACCACGCGTCTGTCCAATGGATCAAGGAGAGTCCCTGATAAAGCGCCCGGAAACAACAGCGAATGCAACCTAACCAGACAGCCTCTGGGATTCCCACGACCAAGCCCCAAGGGTGACGGTCGACCTACAAAATACAACATCACGTAAAATAGGAAAATAACCAAAATTAAATGAATGTATGTTGTAAACCTATACTCATCGACGCTCGAGTCACCGAAAGAATCCTCTGGCAAAATTCGACGGCTGCAGTAGCTCGTTTCTTCCCTATTTTGACCAAACGATGGCCGATAGGGAAACAAGTCGACCCGAGTGTCGTGGGGCTTGGAAAGGCTAGTACAAATACCCCAAGGCCTAAAGGAGCAAAGAAATGTGATTTGCTAAAGGATCAATGGAAAAGATAAAACACAAACAATAGACATGTACCTCGAGAATACGGCCGTCGTCTCTCCCCACGGAAAGTGAAAAGTGTTGGTGGAATCCCACCAAAACTCCAACAACCCGCGGAGGAAAGCTAGTGACGCAAGCTGACTCGATAAATCCTGAAGAGCTGCCAGCTAAGGACCGACCCTCGAAAGCTCAATCACCTCCTTCACCACCTCGGGCAGAGCGCCTCATAAGTCACCCGAACCATACAGGCATATGCTAGTAGGGATATTCGAGTACCCAAAAATCCGGGTACCCGGATCTTCAGGTAGTTGATAAGTCGGCCTGTGCCCGTCCCGAATATTCCGGTACCCGGTATTCAGGTACCCGAATTATCCGAGACGGGACACGGGTACCCGTATTCTATTTATTTATTTTTTTTAATTAAGTTTATACCTAAAATCTGCTGTATTTTTTTAAAGAAATCTGTTGTATATTTAATTATTTACAATAATAATTTTTTTAAAAAAATAAAAAAATAAAAAAAAAAACCTGCTATTATTTTCGACGGAATTGAATGAGTTTTTTGAGGGAGGAGATGTCGAGATGACTAATGAGGTGCAAGAGAGAGAGAGAAGAAGAAGTCTGAAGTCTTCTGAGAAAGCTCCAAAGCCACTTCAATGGAGATTCTAGAGAATGAAACCACAACATTGCTTCAATGGAGGAACGAAACCACAACATTGCTTTAATGGAGGAACAAAACCACCAAAGCTGCTTCAATGGAGGAGAGACCAAGCCCTAGGGGAGAGAGAATTGGGGAAGCAAGTGAAAAGTGAAGGTGGAATTTGAAATAACTTGAATTCTAACTGTGTTTTTTTAGGAGTTTGCCTTATTGGAGCCCTAGGTCTAACTGTTAAGTGGGCTAGGCCTTAATTAAATACGCGCAGGCTCATACGGATTTTTTTTTTTTGTTTTCTAAACGGGTATCTGGGTACCCGAAATTAGCAAAGCTTGTCCCATGTCTCGGCCCACGAAATTGCTATTTTAGCTGGACGGGTACCCGACCCAAAAAAAATAGAAAAAAATTTCAATTTCCCATTGGGTTTTTTGCGGGTCATCGGGATAATCGGGACGGGACAACCGGGTTGGGTTTTTTTGAACACCCTACATGCTAGGCTCACTCTAAAAAAAGAAACTCGATCATGGCGAGCTTGAAAAGAAACAAAAAGAGAGAACAAACAAACACGAGACACTCACTACGCCACGCCAACCCCGAATTGTGGTGATCCGGGTCCCATTTAAGGACCTGTGGATCCCAGTTGGGAGGAGCCTCCCAAACTAACTCCTCGTGACGACATCGCTCTCGGCCTTCCTCACGAACGTGTGCCACCCTCTTTCGAGGGCGAACCACCTTGTCAAGAACTAGTCCTCCTAAGACCTCCTCAGCATCCACAAACGGGGGAGAGTCCATGCTACGAACAATCAATCGATGGAATTTCAAAAATTACACGATTGAATATGTTTTCTAAATCCTAAAAGAAACATAAGGATAAATTCTAGACCCATTTCAACAACATAACGGCTGCGAAAGGGCCAAAACACTAAGTCGAATGCCACCCAGCTCACTCCAATGTACACCTTACGCCGAAACCAAGGCCCCAAACTCCCTTGCAATTTCCTCCCTCCTGGATAGAGCATCAGCCACCCTATTACTCACCCCGGATTTGAATTGGATTTTGAAAATTCATTTTCATATAGGATTTTTATGAACATTTATCCAAGTTTTATAGCTTTTTCTTAGTTTATTTGGTCGTTTTTAGAGTCATGTCTACATAAGCTACCATATATCACCTAAGCAAGTTTTTGCCTCCCCTTTTTATATGTACATAAGCAGCCAAAAGTAGATAATGACAAAAGTTAAAGCTGTCACAATGTGATATGTTAGTCCCTTCTTCACAGCAATCCTGCCTTGGCTGCTCACTAATTTGGAGACTGCTCCACTATCCCTTCCCTAAACGGTTCATTGTGTCCTTTCCTACCCTTTCCTACCCCATCTCACATATGTGTTCACATAACGCTGCTTGCTCAAGGGATTCATTGCACCTTAAGAAAGAGGTAGGAAGGGGAACTTCCATGAAGTTTAGAGCAAGAGAAGCTCTACACAGAGGCCCAAACAATCCAGTGGTAACCAACAACGATAGATGTAATTTTTGTTTCCTTGATGCAACAATTCTAAGTATACATTATCCAAATCTTTAATCAGGCCACAATCCGTGCCACAAGTTCAACAGTTCTATCCTATTGATACCCCTGGCGAATGTAGAATTATTATAGCAGCCGTATTGCATTACAAATCAAAAAGCTTAGCCATGCAAAATTGCCAACCATACATACATCCAATAAACTATAAGGCTGGAACAGGCTACTTCTTGGATTAAATCTAGTTATAAAGTACATCCCCCTCTCTAAGGCTGGAATACGCTACCTCTTCAGTTAGATATTCCTTCAAAATAATCTAACTGACCCAACCTCCACAAATTTGCAGCAATCAGATATCATTCCAGTATAAATGAAACGGACCTAAGAATCTAGTAACTACGTAACACGCAAAAATAGCAGAAATCTCTAAGAATAATCGGCTAAATTTTAGTAATGATAATCTGTTTATTAGAAGCCACTGATTATAAACATACAGAATCATACTCAAACATATTCTCAAATTTTCAGTCTTCAGATTCTCAAATTCTCGATAATGCCATTGACTAATAACAAGACAGTAAGACCCCAGTAAACACTTAGCTGTTAACTGAATCCTTTGATGTTACCAAATGCAATGGTAGATTGACTACATATCATTGATCTCATGTAAGACCAACGAATCAGATCCTAGATATCTAACCCCAGTTTCCACTCACTGTCATGCATAGCCCGAAGTGCCAGAAGTTGGAAAAGGTGATTTCCTATCCAAAACGCATGAAGTACCTTCACAGAGACAGCCAATTTGGACAATAAGGATACAGGAACTGTGAAGTAGTTTTTAATTGTCTAATTGATTTGATCAAGATTAGGAAATCTTTCCACTGTAGCGTATACACAGAGAGCATAGGACTTGAAGAATAATTTCAGATAAAGCAATGCAAGGAGTGAAGGGGCAAGGAGAAAATCAAACAACACTCAGATCCCAGCCTCAAATAGAGATCTTCAGGAAACTGTGGGAGGGGAAATGAGGGCATGTGGTTACAGAGCATCATAAGGTGCAAAAAGATACCAAAAGTACATAACATTTTTTTTAGGTTGGTTGGGTGGATGAAAACATACAAATAATTTCAACTTGCATTATCAAAATATATGTTATAATGACGCTGATAACAATCAAGCTTGCATTGATATTATCCTCCATATCATCGGCTACACTGTTACACTGATTAAACACTAAACCAATTTGAAGTAACCTTGGCACTGGCATCAGAAAGCCCCAAATTTTTGTATAATTAAGTACTGCCAAACCAATATCTCTGAAACCTCCAAGATAGCATCTAGTTCATATAAGATTGAAATCGATTTGCTAAGAAACAAGGACATGAGTGACATGGACCTTTAACAACTGACTTGATAAGTCGGCTATAGTCAAAAATAATTTTTGAGGCTCTTCAAGGCTAGTAACAGATAATATACTCTATATAGAGATTCACACTATTTCCCAACTCAACCCTCAAGCCTCTAGGTTGTTTCCACTCTATACAAACAAAGCTCCTCCCATGTAAACAGAGTTGTTTTACTTCATACAACAGACAACACTATTATAATTAGACTCAGCTTGGCTCACATAACTTCTCCATATATAGTAAACCATGCCAATGCAATTAAGCTGCAAAATTTATCAAGTTCTCATCCTCCAATTAGAAAAAGATTGCTTGACAATAGATGAACTAAAAAGCACAAACCAACATATGATTTCCTCCACTAATACATAAGCAGACATCATTTAAAGGTGCAATCTATCAGCAACTATCCATGCCAAGTACTGAACAAGTAGCCTGAACTACTTATTTGCTACACTAAACAAACTTCAACATCACAAAATATACAATTTACCTTAACCTACACTTACAAAGTTACAAAGCTCATAGTCTCTCATACATGATGGAAATAACAAAATAAGGCATCATGGAAAACCATAATGAACAAACCATAAACAGTTCAGGACATGAAAATTAATCATAGCCTGAAAGCAACAGAGAGTTGCTAAACAATGTACCTTCTCCAGTGAACAGTACTAACAGACAGCTTAGAATGTCAAATAGGTTCTTTCTTCAGCCTCATTCTTACAATCCAATGCTCCTGCAAATCCAATAGACAAATGGTTACACGTTCAACTCAAAGAGGTTGAAATCAAAGGAAGCAGGGAGGATTGGCAGTATTTGTCAAAACAAAAGCATTCCATAACGGAACAAAGAAAGCAACATCACGCGACGCTTTTAAAGGATCTACCGTCACCTCCCACTGCACTCACCAGGGCAGTGTAGATGAAGCAATATGCATTCTTACTGATGCTGATAACAATCAAACTTTGCATGGAAATTATCGTACACTATACTGATTAAACAATAAAACAGTTTGAAACAGTAACCCTGGCATTGAGATTAAAAGGCCCCTAAACCTTTGTATATATCAATAATACCAAACCAATATCTACACCGTAGCAAACATGAAAAAATTGATCTTCTAAGTAACAGGCACATCAATGATATGAACCTTTAACTAGCTCCATCGATCTAACAGATTTTCAAGAGTAGTAGTTTCAAAGGAAGCAGGGAGGAACTTGTGAAAACAAACGGATTTCAAAACAAAGTAGCAACATGCCAACATTACCTCAATGCACTTGAAGTAGCTCCTGCACTCCACGCTCGGCAGGATAGGGAATTAGAGATACCACGATCAATGAAGACTCAAATTCCCAACAATACAACTGAAAATAATTTATATGTATAGAATAAGTAATTAACCTTTAAATTGCGTAGGACAGAATGTCATTAGAGTTTGGAATTCAATGAATTATACTTCTGAAAGAATTCAATTTGACAGTGATAACAAGTAGTATGCCATTGAATATTGATCAACCATCAAGGATTCATGAAATAAAAATTCAAAAGGAAACAATATAAAACATACCAAACAATAGCAAACAACAAAAATTAACAACTCATAAGACTAAGTACCATATATTAGTAATAGTCATCAAATATTTCATAACTGCATCAAACTAATATATATTCAGAAACATAAACATAATCATATAAACTTAACAATCTAAAACCCTAACCCTAATTTCATAAAAACCACAAACTCCACAAATCCAACCTCAAACCCTAATTAAGAGCTGGTAAACTTAATAACAGCCTTGGTACCCTCAGAATCAGCATGCTTTAAGAGATATAGCCAAATAATGCAACAGGGGCATCTTATTCAGAACTTCACAAGCAATCGATTGCGATTTGTTTCCACCTTCTAAGCTTGGGCTCATCGAAGATGTAAACCCCAAATCAAACCTCCCAAATCCTCTGGACCCTAGCATACTTCTACCAGTAACACTTTAAGAGATTCTATGCCTTAATTCAAAGAATTGAAAATGTGCAGAAATAATGGATCAAACCAGCATCAGTATGAACGGCAGCAAAATATACTCCTTTGTAGAGGTGTCAAAACTCAAAAACCAAACCCAATCCAATACCGACCCAAAAACTATCCAATTCAGATTTCGACACACATAGACATAATAATTTAGCATAACTCAAGTTTAAAAATATACACAACCCAACTCAACCTCACCGAACCCAAACATCAAAATTAACACCTCTACTCCTTCGATAAATTCATGTTCAATTACTTTGCACAATGCATTAATAATCACATACTTTATCAAAATTTGGTACAAACAACAGCGTAATCCCTTTTAAAAAAAAAAAAAACAGCTTACTTTGCATATAAACGACATTGAAACATACAATTTACAATCAATAGTCAAATTCAATAACAATTGTTTCCTTCTAAGCCAAATTCATACAATTTCTTTTCAATAATCTCCAAAATCCCTTATTATATCAGAATAACCAAAACTATTTTCATTACGATTCAAATTTTTTTTTTTTTATTTTACTGGATCTAAATTCTAAATGAATAGAGATAATATTTATCAGATTTGAAACCAACAAAATCAAAAACCAAAACATTTAGATCCAAATATATTCCATATATCTGCAACTATAACATACTAAACCCTAATTCACCAACCAAAATGCATGAACTAAACCCAAATTCAACAATCTAAATACATAAAACCCCATAAATTCATCCTAAAAATGAATTTAATTTAATTTAAGAGCTGGTAAACTTAGTAACAGCCTTAGTTCCTTCAGAAACAGCATGCTTAGCCAATTCACCAGGAAGAACAAGCCTGACAGCAGTCTGAATCTCCCGAGAGGTAATCGTTGGCTTCTTGTTGTAACGAGCGAGTCTAGCAGATTCCTGAGCAAGCTTCTCGAATACGTCATTGATGAAACTGTTCATTATGCTCATAGCCTTGCTTGAGATTCCGATGTCAGGATGAACCTGCTTCAACACCTTGAAGATGTAGATCTTGTATGTTTCAACGCTCTTTTTGTGTCGCTTCTTCTTCTTATCTCCGGCAGCTGCTCCGGCTTCCTTAGGGAGCTTTTTGCCGGCTTTCGGCTTTTTCTCCGCCGGAGCTTTCTCGGCAGCTTCGGCAGCCTTCTTCTCCTCTGCCGGCTTCTTCTCGGCGGGTTTCTTCTCAGCTTTTGGTGCCATTGAAAGTGAATTGAGGGGTTTTGAGATTTTCAGAGGATTGAAAGTAGGGAAATGAATTAGATGAAGAAATGTTTTAATGTGGAATTGTTATATATAGGAATGGGAGATTGAATCTGATTGGTTGGTGTAGGTTCACACGGATCGGTGACTTGGCGAGAAATTTGAACAAAATCTGTTTTGAAAATTTTGAAATTTCAATTTAAATTTAAATACTACGTATTTTAAACTTCGCGCGTCTGTCTATAGGGGTTGTTGAACCATTTATACTTGGACTAAAATCTAATTGGGCCGGATTTATAAATTTCTAGAAGAGCCACAATCTATAACCTACAAATTATAACCTACACGTAGGTAGCTCTGTCTGCACCTCCTTCTATCATAATGACGTCATCTTATAACTTTCGGGTTCTGATTTATATATAAGATATTCAATTTTTATATATATAAATGTTCAATTTTGTATTATTAAATGTTCAATTTTATAACATTAAATGTTTTAATCTTGTTAATACGACGTGTTATATTCAAATAATAAGTATATTTTTTTCATTTTTATTTTTAGATATAGTTTTTCTTTTTACTTTGTCTAATTATTTAGGGGACCTTTGGTTTACACAGGGTAAACGGAATGGAATGAACAAAGGGAATGGAAAAGAATGGAATGAAATTACCTTAAATTTTCTATGTTGTTTGCTTTAAAAACAAAGGGAAACAATGCCACTTATCCAACCACCACATAATTGGTAGGACAAAAGAGGGGATAATTAATTAATAAAAGGCCACCACTACCGACTCGCATTGTCGTCCCAGCCAACTCGCACCACCACACCACCACTAACACCGCACCAGCCAACTCGCACCACCACTAACACCGCATCCTATAATCACTCTCACCACAACCAAGATCTGAAACCCCTCCATAACCAACCTCACCCAACTCGCACCACCACTAACACCGCCACCACCTGAAACCCCACCATCAACAAAATCCCGAAACCCCACCACCAGCAAAATCCCGAAATCCCACCATATAGTCACCCTCCTCTCAGCAAATCGAAAGCCACTCCGCGGTAGGAACCCAACCCACCTAACGTACTCACCTTCCCTGCCGGCCGCAGAAAATCGAAATCCACCACGAAAACACCAACCCCGTCGTTTTTCTAACATCGCACACCATTTCTAGCCACCACCCAGCCACCCGACGCACCTCCTCCACCACTCGCCACTCTTCGATGCACCTCCCTCGCCCTTCGCCGCCGCTCCTCGTGCCCGCATAGCTCTCCCCTCCCCTGAATAAACCTCCCTTAACCTCGCAAAACCCTAGAAACATGGTGTGGTTTCCGGTGATGCAGTGGTGGCTAGTTGTTCTGGTGGTGGGGAGGTTTTCGCTGGGGTGCCTGGTTGTTCCAGGGGTGGGGGAGGGACAGCGAGGGTGAGGGGAGGGATTTCGGTGGGGTGGCTAGTTGTTCCGGTGGTGGGGAGGGTGGTGGTATGGTGGTGTGGTGGTAGCTAGGGAATGGAATGGAAATACCTAGGGGGTGGGGAATCAACTTGGAGGGATTTGGGGGAATGGAGAGAGTAAAGGGAATGGGAAAAATGGCCTAACAAACAACAACAAAGGGAATGATTCCTATTGATTCTCATTCCCTTAGATGAATACCCCCAACTAAACGACCCCTTAGTTAAATTAATAGGGTTTGTTTGAAAAAATATCTTTCAATGTAGAATAACATTAATTAATTACAATTATAATATCATTTTAAATCAATATATACTCATTATTTCTGAAGCATAAAAGAGAACTCTTTTAACTTTTCAAATGTACACATGCTTAAGTTTAAAAACAATAAAAAAAAAGTGAAAATCTTAAACTCCAAAAGTATACATATAATATATATGTGCCTTACAAAATGATTATTGTCTTTCAACATATACATTTGGTATAAATAAAAAGTATATATAATCTTCGTCCTTGTCATACGGTTGTACCCCTTTTACACTTATGATGCTTGTGCATTTTCGTTTAATTTATACATATCTTTTTCTCAATGTATACATAATCGTCTTCAACTTTTATTTTATTTCATTATCCTGTGTAATAAGAAATCAAAATATTGTAAAGGAAAATGTTAGTAACAATCAAAATACACTATAAACAAAATAGGATAACTAAATAAACATTTACAAAAATAAATTTGAACACATTGCCAATAAATGAACATAGTTTAATATGAGAATGAACGAGTATTACAATCTATATGAACATCTTTCAACATAAAATGAACATATACCAAAAGTCCAATGAACATTTTCAATACGAGAATGAACAATTATAAAATTTAATTGAGCATTTTTTAATATAATAACAAACAAGTATTAAAAATTGAAACAAATATATCTCTTTTAATATGAGAATGAACAAGTATAAAATAAATGAATATGGTTAAATATAAACATTAATATTGTATTAGATTGTAAATGATCATCTGATGTGAATCAAGAGGTTAATTCTTTTGAAGGGTCCAAGACACTTTTAGAAGGTCCAAATAGCTTCATTATAAGCTGCCCAAACAAAGAAATAAACAAGGAAAGGTCCACTAGTTCAATATGGAAAGAAGGAAGCATGATTTGCAAAGAAGATGAAATGGAGCAGTTCACTTCCGGCGAGTAGCACGGTGGCCACGCACCGAGATGGGGCCCACGCGCCGGCTTCCTGGCACCGGACTGAGCCCAGCTACAAGCTAGTGTGGCGCGTGTCAACAAGGGTGGCGCGTGTGGTGGTGTGGTGGCGACGATATGAAAAGAATGATTTTATAGACTTAATTTATTTCTAGAGTTTTTTACCTTTCACTTGAAAGGGTTTTTAGGATTAAATTTTTGCCATTTAGTTGCTATAAACTTCTTAAGGTTATTAGGAAAGTTTTTATTTAGTTAATTAGAGTTTGATTAGGATAAGTTTTCCTATTCTAGTTAGAAGTAGTAATTCTATTCTAGTTAGGGTACTTAGGGAACAAGGTTAGGGGTTTGTCCTAGTCCTTGTAGGAGTATAATTAGTTGCCTTCTATGTCTATATATAGGGGTAATTTTCGTGGCTTTAAATGGAGCTCATTATTACATTGTTTTGAGTTTAAACACTTAAGTTCTAATTAATGGATTTCAATTGTTGTTTCACTTGTTTTAGTTAAAACATTCGTTTGGGTTGATTAATTAGGTGGATTCTTAGTTAATTAATCTAGGAAAATTTGTCTAGAACTACCTGGAAGATAGGCTCATTTGTGAAGAACTACCCATTTTTTTTATTTGTTTACAACTACCGGAAGTTTGAAAACGTTTGGGTAGCACTACCCATTAATGTTTTTCCGTCCAATTGCAACGTTAGTGGGGCCCACTTTTTAACTTTCCCACTTAATTAAATCCTCCCCCCAACTACCTTCTCTCTTCCTCTCTCCTCTATAATTTCTTTTCCCTCCATTACCACCCCCTTTTTTCACCTTCGTCATTTGACAAGGAAATTTCACCATCATCTTCCTCTCCTTTTCAGAAATTTGGCAGCCCTACCATCCCTTTCTTTGTTGTCTCTGTCTCTTCCAACTCATCTTGCTTTTTTGGGTAACTCGAAGTAAATGAGTCACACCACAGCAATGGAAAAGGGGGAAAATGAAGTAAATACACAACAAAAAACAACAGCACAACAAGGACGAACAAGGTACATTGGTGTAATCACCTTAAATTTCTATCCTTTACCTTAAATACTATAAAAAAAATGTGAAAACCCTAAATATTTAAATACTTGAAATTGGAATCCTAGTTTTTTAATTGACACAATTAAACAATTGCAACAAATTATCACGTAATTAATTAATAATAAACTTAATTGAGGTTGTGATGAAGATAAAAACAAATAATTACATGCCTAGAATGGATTAGGAGGTTTGTGATGAAGAGAAACACTGAGAAATGGGATACAGTGCAAAGGCATGAAGGCAGATTTATGCCTTATGTTGACAAGGTCTTCCAATTTGTGTCAGAATTGGCTAGCAAATGTGATGTAATTCCTTGTAGGCTGGACATTTGGGAAGTGGACTATTACAATGACAGATATGTAGTCAATTTGGGGAGAGAACATGTAGCTGCTTCATATGGGATTAACTTAGGTGGCAGACCCCCATCAATGAGCCCTTGGAATGTATTACAAAGGCAAAAGAATTGGGAAAGAGATGGAAAAAGGTATATGGGGACTCAAGCTGTGTTGTATCTTTTAAGGTTAATAAACCATAGTCTAAATGTGTTATAATTTGTTTTAATTTTTTTTTCTCAGGGTAAGATTAACCCTCAAACTGTCACATCCACATCACAAACTACTCCATCTCAGCAAAGCTCACAGAATGCAGCTTCTGGTCCACCACAACCTACTCAACCAACCCCAACATCCCAGCCCTTGCCTCAGACAAATGACACATGGAAGTCCAAGGCAGCACAATCAAAAGCAAAGCTTCCAATTAAGTCAAAAATGAAGAATCATCCTGTGTGGAAGCCATAGATTATGATGTGATTTAGTTTCTTTCTATTTTTTGTGTTAAGAACAATCCTTATACATTTTGTGGGGCTACATGTACTTCAACCGAATATTATATTGTTGTAGCCTATATTTTATTATGTGTGATGAACAAATCCACTTTGGCCTTGTAATTATTTTGGATGATGAAATGCAAGGTTTTTCAGTATGAATGTGCTCAAAATTTATGCATTGTAAAGGTAGTCATCAAAAGACCATTCCATTTCATTGTCACGACAATATTACAACCTAAAATTAATAAGGTCAACATTTGCAATTTGTTTACATGCCAAAATCTGTGACATATGCCACACATATAGTGCAAATGTAATATCAATGATTACCTAATTGCCTACTACATCATTGTCCTTCCTAAAGACACTAACACTATTCCAATAACAACAACTATCACCACCTGCATCAGTCCTGATATGCCATCCCCATCACATGCCTTTGCCTTCTTCATAGCAACAGAAAGTGTCTTGCATTTCTTGGTAAATCTTTCTTTTTCATTCTCCACCCTTGTCGTTTGGTCTTGAAGCAGGCAAACTTGTTGTTTCAGTAAAGCAATCTCATTTTTCATCAGCTTTTTGTCCAACACAAGTTCATTAGTGACAACCCTCTGCCACTCAAGTATTTCTTCATCAATCCATTTGAAAAATTTGCATCCTCTTCTACCAGTTGCAGAATCATAGAATTTACAAGCCAAAAATCTTCTCCCAGGGTTTTTTGTAGTCCACGACGTCTCCAAATTTGGTGGAATTCCACAATTGCACTTGTTTGGATGAAATTTCTTAGCAGAGTGATATGAAGAATTGGACATCCTACCAATTACAATGTCAATTAGTAATTAAAATGCTTCACAATTCAATCTTAAATGCAAAATAACCGATTCCCATAACTCAATTGAACCCCCAAACCCTATAATCAAAACCCCCAATTTTGATTGAACACGTAAACCCTAATTTGAGGCAGGCATATTTCAACCCTAATTCTTTTAATTGCATTCAATTAAACCTTGTAAACAAGCACGAAAAACAATGAATTACAAGGAAAATGTGAAAGATTACCAGAATTTGTGTTGCTTTGCTTGATTTCTTCAACCAGATTTTTTGGGTGGTAACGGAGGGAAAAAGAAATTACAGAGGAGAGAGGAAGAGAGAAGGTAGTTGGGGGAGGAGTTAATTAGGTGGGAAAGTTAAAAAGTGGACCCCACTAACGTTGCAATTGGACGGAAAATGTTAGTGGGTCGTGCTACCCAAACGTTTTCAAACTTTCGGGTAGTTGTAAACAAAAAAAAAATGGGTAGTTCTTCACAAATGAGTTTATTTTCTGGGTAGTTCTAGACAGATTTCCCATTAATCTAGTTTCTTGTTTAATTCTTGGTGGATTCTCCTGTATAGAATTAAGCTTGATTCATATCCTTGTGTGTTTTAGTTTTAGGACTAAAATTCACACCATCATCTTTTAATATGAGAATGAACATGTAATGTAAGGAAAATGAACATGTATCAAATTTAAATGAACATAAATTAATACGAAAATGATCATATATGAACATGAATTCCATCTAAAATGATCTTTTTTTCTATCTAAAACGAACATTTATGACGATTAAAATTTGCTAGTCAAAATTCGTCATATAACATTTTTAGTAACAAAATAAGTAATGTTAAATGATAATTGATGGTTCAATTTCATAAATTAAATTGATAATTTGTCTTTAATTTAAGTTATGATAATTTTAATATTTCTTTTGGCAATTAATTATAAATCCTTCTACAAATGAACATAAAGTCCATCTAAAATGAACATTTACGATAGATTGAATGTAATAGCTGTTGGGTTTCGTAGTGTCCGATACTACGCGGAATGAAACCCTCCCAAGACCGGCACACAAATTAATGTAACTAAACATGCATATTAAATAATAATCACATAATTAATTAACTAAGAGAGAGAGAAAAGAAGATCTTACCCTCGACGCATGCTTCGCTCCTTTAGAGTTCGTACTTGAAAGTGGTAGCTCCGCAAGTGCGTGAGCCTCCGACGGCTCACACCCTCGAGACCCGACCCGAACGGTCCCTACCCCGAAGGTTAGTCGGGGCTAGACCAAGAACTTAGAGTATTAGAATTAAGGTATTCTCTTCTAGGAGATCCCTTAAAATTCTTAACTCAAGTGTCCCTTCCTAATCCCAAATGATGGGTATTTATAGGGAAGGGAGTCTTGAATTCCAATCTCCCATCAATGTGGGAGAGCTGTTTAAAATGCACTTTATTCAATTTATTTTAATTCAAAAAACAAATTAAAATGCAAGTGAATCAACAAACAACAAGTGTCAAGTGGAGAGAAAGAGGTTAGGTGAGGACCACAAGGGGGGGGGGGGGACCATCCACCCCTTGCTCCCCAAGAAACCCACACAAATTGGCTCCCCACACACACAACCAATGCATGCGCGCCAGCTGGTGCTGCCAGCCTTGGGCGCCAAGGCTACCTTGTTGGCGGCCTAGCCCCTTGGCTAGGCCGCTAGCTGGGCGTTGTGCGTGCACACAGTCCAGCATGCAAGCACGCACATCCGCAACCCACGTATGCATTATTGCGTGCTGCTGCTGCGTTGCTTGTGCTAGCGAGGCCAAGCAAGCACTTGCGTGCTAGCACGCTTAGCGCGCCAGCAATGCTGGCCATGCCACACCAGCTAGCTAGCCAGCGTTGCTAGCTTACAATGCTAGCATGCATGCGCTGCTAGCTAGCTCGGCATGGTGCGGTTGCCTTGGCTAGCTATATTGCCCTTGGCTCTCGGATTTCTCGGGGCATTCCGAGGCTAGGGTATATTTGTAATTTGTTGTTTGCTTGATTCCTCGTCTCGTCGAATTCTAAATTTGACTCGACTTACGACGCTCGGTTTCGATGCTCTAAGCCCGATATCCTACATCTTTGTTCGTAATACTCTAATGACTCATCTAATACTTCGGATATATTCGTCGCCTCAGATCGGTTACTCGATTGGGGTGTGACCCGAAGGTTTTAGTCATGATTAAGCTGTAATATTAATTATACATTAATATTACTAATCAGAAGCAGCCTCCACCTAGACATTCCGATCACTTGACCTCACTGAATAATTAGCTTTCTGATAATTCCGGACCCTCTATCGGAATAATACACTTGTTGGAAGGACACCATCCTTTCAATCTCCCACTTGTCCTTCGGACAAGTGTGCAGTTAGTGTACAACTCGACTGGTGGTCATGTCTCAAGACGACATTTCTAAGAAGACGAAGCTAAGTAGATGCAATGAAGGGCTTTGAAGATTGGATGCTTCAAGTTTCAAGGGGCTCATGCTAGTTTGCCAATGCATCTTTATTTATGCCTTATATATTTTTCTTATATATAATTGCGACATTAGATGCATGTTTAAGATTTCGAATGTTGAATGATTAATTTAGTTCACTTAAATCACCCAACATAGAAACCCTAAGTCCCAAAGAATATTGAGTTAAAATTACCATTCCAAAATGACACTTACCGAAACTTTGAAAGTAGGTAATGGGCTATGCCAAAGCAAGGCATTACCACTTTCCTAGGGAAGTAAGGTATGTTGGTGGGCTTGCTAAAGCAAGGCATCATATACACGTTAGTTTTGGTTAAACTCAACAAAATCAGTAAGGAGTCCTTAGATGTCGTAGCAATGGAGATAAACGTCAAGAAAGCATTAGATGCGACGTTTTATCGAACCAAGAATAGCTTAGAGCTATTAGTAATTAGACTGCTTACCTTAAAATATTAAGTGTTAAGACAAGCCAAAGCATGCTTAATCACTTTTTGATTTTTGGGGTCTTGGAATTGAATTGTTTTATTCTCGGCTAAAAGGGACAAATTTTAAATGTGTGGATAAAACACTTAATAAGTTAATTGAAATTGCTAGTTTGCATGTATTTAAAAGCTTATTATATTATCTTGATAAATGGTTATACTTTAATTTGCACTTATATTTGTAGAATTCTAAATCGAATTATAATGTTTCCAACGATTGGTAAAAGGAAATCTTTTGAGAATGGTTCTCAAAGAATGAAAACGCATTTCTAAAATACAACTTCTCATAAATGACTTCTATGGCTAAGTCCGAAAGGACGGTTGGACATCATGTATTCAAAATACTAGGTAGTTTTGATAAACATAAATTATTGAGTTGAAAACTCAAATTGTCAATGATTGACAACCAACGTATCTTTTCGCTTCATGCACTAATGAGTAGGACTCATTGATGTAGTAATTCAAGTACGAATTAAAGGAAAGGAACTTTGTTTTACGGCGCATTAGATGCTTAATTATGCCTAACAAAGTATAAAAGTCAAAACACTTAAAGAAATGGTTCTTAAAGTTATGAGATGATGTATAATAAGAAATATAGGAAACAAGGAACAAAGGAAAGGAATTTAAGATTCCAATTCTACCTATAAGTTTATGTTATCGTAGTTCGCTTAGCAACTTATCTTTACAATTATTAGATACTGCTTAAGAGTTCACTTTTGAAGTGACCTCAAACCATTGAAGTTAAGCTAAGTTATTGACTTACGAGCTTGGAATGAAGCAAGTAGGTGCTACATTAGCTGTAAGATCATCTACTTTGTTTAAAGACCTTTTAAAGCTAAGGCTGGAACAAATAATAGTTATTGTGTTCCATAATCAGCAAATGTTTTGTTTACACACGGAAAGACTCACATTCAAAGTAAAAGAACAATAGTTGTTGGTTTTATTTGAATGACATGGTTGTTTAAGCCATGGGTCAAGAATGCTTGATTATAAACAAACATTTCCCTAACACAAACTTACAAGGTTCAAGTCATAAACATGATTTGTGTTCCGACTATCTTTAGCAATGTCACATCAACAAGAACATACTCAAGGCTCTAGTAGATAGACTCTTGAAAGTTGATCGATTCAGAATTGTTCTAAGGCAAGGAAGTCTTACTTGTTGAAACCAACAAAGAAAGGAGCTATTATGCTTGGTATTGACAATTGACTCTGAAAGCTAAAGAGAATTCCATTACTTCAATGTTTTCACAAGAATTTGAAAGAATATGACTATATTAATTAAATGTGAACAAATTGGATCTTTAATGGCTCAAAAGTTCAGTGAAGTATAGAATCGACTTGGCAAGATATCAAAATGTCTAGATTAGATCAAGTGATGTTTGTTTGAGCCAAGAGTGATCATCTCAAGGTTATGAAATTGGAATTTCATAATTAACTCCACAAAAGAATATAGGATATCTTGACAGAGACCTCGAAGCCATTTGGAAATGACTCAAATGATGATGAATCACACCCCTTCCTATAACGTTCTTAAAGATATGCACAAATGACTAATGTTACACTAAATAAAATTGTCGAAGCTAAGAAAAGACACCATATTCAGTTATGAATAGAAATAGTTTCTAGCGTCTTTTTAAATATATATCTAGGGCTCTTAGCCTCAGTGGGAGCTTATTGGCTCAGTGGAAGCTAAGTGTCTCAATAAGGGCTAAGGTAGCTCAAGTGGAAGCCAACTGTTTGTTTTAAAATGAACTTTTACACAAAAACAATATACAAGTCTCTTTGTAAGAATTCAAGTGAGACTAGGGGCACTACTTCCATAACCAAAATTGAGAACATAGTACTTGTTGCTCTAAGTGGTGTCTTTCTTGAAAGTAACACATTTCCAAAACAACAAGTGGGAGAAAAATGAGCTCAATGACCATCGAGACGAGCAACAAACCAGAACTGAGAATCTCGGAAGACTTTAGAAAGCCTTTATGAGAATAATTGATCAAGAATACTCAA